CTGCGAACCTCACATTGCATGTCACTACCATTGGGAATGATTGTGTACAAAATGGGGTGCACTACAGGCCATATGTCCTGGCCAATAGTCCATTCATCTACACTGAAGACTATTTTTTGTTTTTTAAGTATATTTATTTATTTTACTTGAAAGGCAGAGGCAGAGAGAATCTTCTGTCCACTGGTTTACTCCCTAAATGGCCAAGACAGCTGGAGCTGAGCCAGTCCAAAGCCAGGAGCCAGGAGCGTCTTTTGGATCTCCCACATGTGTGTGGGGACCTAAGGACTTGGGCCATCTTCCACTGCTTTCCCAGGCAGATTATCAGGGAGCTGGATCAGAAGTGGAGCAGCCGGGACTCGAACCGGTACCCATATTGCATGTCAGCGCTTCAGGCAGTGGCTTTACCAGCTATGCCACAGTTCTGGCCCCATGAAGACTGCTTTTAAAAGGAGAAGTGGAGATGAGCTAAGTTCTCTATGATCTCTATAGCTTAATTCTTTAAAAAAAATCCTAGTGGTTAAATGTTGATAGTTCTCAGGGGAAATGTGAATATTGCTTCTAATTAAAACTGTTCTATTGGAGTTTTTGGCAACAAGTGCAGAAGTCTTAAAGTGAAAGAAGCTGTTTTGTGAGGTCCCCAGCTCCATGTCAGTTTCACCAACATGCAGCACAGTGGTGAAGTCTGCAGTGTGACCAGAGGTTTGATTTTGTCAGCCTGGTTTGTGTGGGACTCTTCTTTCTCAGTGCTGAGACACACAGTGGCACTGGTGTAGGCATTAGCCAACCTAAAGTGGCCTGTGACATCCTCTGATATTCCAGGGGAAGTATGAGCTGGTTAGGAAAGTGACCAGCCAGAGACACATAAAATGGGAACGAGAAATTCACAGAAGACAGTGCAGTCATTTGCCAAGTGAGATCAGTGGATGCTCATTTCAGGGAGGAGTGGATCAAGGCAGGGGCATGAGGACTCCATGCTCGCTGCAGACTGTTGGAGGATGCCCTTCTCTGTCGTCTCCAAATGAATGCAGAAAAGCCATTCAACCAAGGCAAGTCTGATGGTGCACATTACGCTGGCTGAGAGAGCACACTGGCTGCTGTCTATCTAGTCCGCACAAACACTGCTCTTCAATGCTGCAGACAAAAGAATACAGAAAACACAGAATTCCATATTTCAAGAATGTTATATCTCATTCACTAATCTTCCTTTAAATAATAATTCCATCCCCTGCCCCGACTCATTTGTTATTGTCCCTATTTAAGAGAACATATACTCTCTTTTCAATACTGAGGATATGGGTGGGGGGATATTTATGTTGGGATGGGCTTTGACACAATGCTTAAGTCATCAATTCAGATGCCTGCATCTCATATCAGACTACCTGATCTTAGTCCTGCCTTCTCCTCTGCAAGTCCAGCTTTCTGCTACCACATATTCTGGGAGGCAACAGGTGGCAGCCAAAGTACTTGTGGCCCTGTCATCCACATGGGAGTCCCGGATGGACTTCTGGGCTCCTGGCCTGGCCTAGCCCTGGGTGTTGCAGGAATTTGGGGAGTCAATCAGTAGATGGAAGATCTCTCTCTCTCTCTCTCTCTCTCCCTATCTCTCTCTCTCTCTCTGCCTATCAAATAAAATTAAAATAAGTAAATGTTTAAATCTTCTTTAAAGATTTATTCATTTGAAAGGCAGAGTTAGAGAGGGAGAGTGGAGAGTCAAAGAGAGATAAAGATCTTCCATCTGCTGGTTCACTCCCCAGAAGGCTGTAATGGCTGGACCTGAGCCAATCCAAAGCCAGGAGCCAGGAGCTTCTTCCAGGTCTCCCACATGGGTGCAGGGGCTCAAGGACTTGGACCATCTTCTGCTGCTTTTCCAGGCACATAAGCAAGGAGCTGGATCAGAAATGGAGCACCCGGGACTTCAACTGGCACCCATATGGGATGCTGGCACTGAATGTGGCAGCTTAGTCCACTATATCACAGTGCTGGCCCCAATTTTAAAAACTTTTAACTCCTATGTCAGGAAAGAGAGAATGAGAGAGAGAGATGGTTAGATGGACAGCTATGTACATATACTTGTGTACACACACAAACACAAGCACACACACTGGATACGCAAGTCCTATCTCAGATACTTTAGCCGTGGTATGTTCTCTAACCAGGTCTACTCTGATATCCAAAAAAACTTTGGTAAATAACTAAAACATGCACATAGCACAAGAGGTTCTTAGATTGGCTGCTGGCTAATATTTATTTAGTATTTAATATGTGCCAAGTTCTATTCCAAGCACTGTATTAAATAATGTAAATCTAATAAAAGCCCGTGGAGGGGAGTCTTTCTTCTCCCCAATTCCATATACAGCTGAGTTATCATCAGCTTCCATCTCTGTCCTGAGACAACACAGCATGCAACGGGGGAAGCTGGGCTCAGGTGGTCCAGGCCCAGAATCCATGTTCTCATTCAAATGTGTGGCATCACGGGGTAGCTGGGTGCCAAGAGACCCAGTCATGGTCATTAACTTGGCATTGTATGATCCCTTCTTTACAGTAATTGAGATATTTTCATAAAATAGAAATCAGGACAAATTCTCCCTCTTATCAGTCTATAAAGAGAAGGGTACTAAATTAAAGTCTCTTCCACTCCAGAATCTCTGAAATAGAGCATATAGGCTGGGTCCTTTAACAGTGGGGCCTTGGGTCTGAGACAAGCTCTCGAGGGCCTGTCTGTCCATCCACAGTAAGACTTTCCTACGAGACTCGGTGAGCACTCAGAGCAGAGAGACTTGGGGGTTAGAAGAGGCCACAAGCGGCCCACAGCAGAGGCGCATCTGTGAGAGGCCGCCCTGCTGGCACTACTGTGCTTGTCTGTGCTGTGCACAAGGTATGCTAAATAATCTGCTGACTCTCCCATGTACAGCTTTCTGTACATGCTTTTTCTTTGAGAGGCAGAGTTATAGACAGAGAGGAGAGACAGAGAGAAAGGTCTTCCATCCACTGGTTCACTCCCCAAATGGCCACAATGGCCAGAGCTGAGCTGATCCGAAGCCAGGAGCCAGGAGCTTCTCCTGGTCTCCCATGTGGGTGCAGGGGCCCAAGCACTTGGGCCATCCTCCACTGCTATCCCAGGCCATAGCAGAGAGCTGGAAAATAGAGCAGCCAGGACTCAAACCAGTGCCCATATGGGATGTCAGCAACGCAGGCGGAGGCTTAGCCTACTGCGCCAGCCCCTGTACGTACTTTCTAATGAGCTCGGTAGGAAGTGCCGTGAAGACAGGACTCATGTCCTGTTGACCCATATATGCCATCCAGGCCTCTCCCAGTGCCTGAGACAGAGGAGAGAAACATAAATGGCCAACGTGGATAATGTGCAGAAGAATAAGCAGAAGTAACCTCCAGCTGTCTATCATGACAGCTTTCACTCAAGCAGATTCAAGCTTGAATATGGTCACTTTCTGTGCCTCTGTTTTCATTTTATAAACAGCTTTCAGGCCTGGAGGAAGCCAAAGAAGAGGGGGAAAGTATCATGCAAAATGATAGGCATTGCATATGAATTAAATGAAACATGAGAGAGAATTGTACTTTGGAAGTTAGTGGAAGCCGGTGAGGGCCTTGTTATAAATAACCTTTGGTGCACACATGGGCCAACGTCCGGCCTCTTGCCATTGGCATCAATAATGCAGGCAGGTGGAGACTGAGAGGGGCCACTGTGGACCTGGCCGGAATAGTTTTGGGGTGTTTTTTCCCGCAAATTCTGGGCTCTGGGTATTTGTAACTTTTTTAAGATTTATTTATTTATTTATTTGAAAGTCTGAGTTACACAGAGAGAGAAGGAGAGGCAGAGAGAGAGGTATTCCATCTGATGGTTCACTCCCCAATTGGCCGCAATGGCCGGAGCTGCACCAATCTGAAGCCAGGAGCCAGTGGCTTCTTCCGGGTCTCCCATGCAGGTGCAGGGGCCCAAGGACTCAGGCCATCCTCCACTGCTTCCCAGGCCATAGCAGAGAGCTGGATTGGAAGTGGAGCAGCCAGGACTGGAACCGGCGCCCATATGGGACTCCAGCACTGCAGGCAGTGGCTTTACCTGCTCGCCACAGCGCCCACCCTGAATATTTGTAACTTTAAACAGTAAATTTTCAATTGCTGAAGAGGAAAGGGGGAAGACCAGAGTCATCCCACAGGGATGAGGAGGCGTTCTCTGACATCATCAAGACCAGGAAGAGCCTTTTGAGAGAAGAGAGGGAGGCCCATAGCCTTGCCCTCAGCTCTTCACAAAACCCTTCATCGTCCAACCCAATGAGAGAAAACTAAATCCAGCTATCAGGACCTGGTGTGACTGGGAGGTCCTCCCTGTCCCTGAGGACAGAGGGAGTCACTGGCAATGACACTGATGAGGCAGATGGGACAGGATAGCCTGGAGGCTGCTGGACTGAATTTATGTGATGCTGTGGTTTTCTGATTAGGAAGCTGTAGTGCAAAGGTGCCTCGCCCTGCAGCACTTTGTGCCATAGCCAGAATCTCTGGCCAGAAGGGGAGGATCTCTTGTACTCAGACACACCAGCCACCACAGCCTTCTCTCGGAGCCATCAGTCTCGCCAAGGCGGGAAAGGTTTTCTGTGTTTATGAACCTTTACTTTACTACGCTACTGCATAACTGGAACTAGTGTGGAGGTAGATTTGTGTTGTACCCCAAATCTTACTGAATGCTAATCAAGCTTTTGTAAAGAAGAAGAGCAACAAAGGTGCCCCCAATTCCTCCACTGCCTGTCACCTTCAATTTCAACTCTTCTTGAGTTCTTTAGTCGTAACCAAGTGGATATGGCAGGCCTAGAAAGACACAGTGATGAAATGTGGCTAGAAATTAGGGCAAATGAGATTTATGGTTTTATCTTTGCCTTCTGGAAGACAAAAACACTATAAAACAAGACAGGAAATGTCTGAGAAACATTGTTAACTCTAAAGAGAAGAAATACCGCATCAGTTGGCAGGGAGAGAGACACAAAGCAAAATTTTGTCATTTGGATGTCTTTGATCACTTTTTGTGGGGCTTTGTTGGATTCTGTTTTAGTTGATTCATGCTGCCATGACAAATTGCCATAAATGAGGTAACTAAAATGACAAACACGGCTCACGGTTCCGGAGGCTGGAAGTCTGAGATGCAGATTTTGGCAGGTCCAGTGTCTGGGAGGCCTGCTTCCTGGTTTGCAGTCAGCTGCCCTCTTGCTGTACGTTCACACTGTGCGAGAGCTCCCATGTCTCTTCTCAGGAGGCCACTGGTTCTATCATGAGGGCTCCACCCTCGTGAGCTAATCACCTTCCAGAGGCCCCACCTCCTAGTACCGTCACATGGGGCTTAGTAGTCAACATATACAGTTGTGCTGGGGGAGACATAATCAATGCAGAGCAGACTCCATGCAGGTCCTAAAACAGAGATGGAAAGGCAGAGCGGACATGAACAGGAGACCCAGAAGCCAAGTGAAGTCAACAGGTCAGAGAGGAGCCTCTTTACGAAGTGCCCGGACAGACCTGAAACAGGTGGCAGGAGGTGACAGTGGCTTGGAGAGTGAAGGGCCTAGACATTGGCACACTAGTGGCCCTGGGCAAGACATCTGAGAAACACCCAGACTTCTTCTGAGTAGGCCTAGGCTGGCCAGCTTACCCTGTACAGTAGGTTTAGAACAGGAAAGAAGATTGTGGCCAAAGACCACCTCACAGTTGAGAATGACAGACAAAACACCAGTTTGTGAAGTGGTCTCATTTAGAGTTCTATTATCACACCTTGATTTTGTAAATAAGGGAATGTGTTTTTATTTCACAGACAGATTAGTTAGAATTTCATGGAGCAGCCGGTATGTCAAGTACTGCCCGTCCATCTATGCTCAGATAATAAAAGATCCACTTGGCACTGGCCATGTAAATGGAACCTGGCTGGAGAGCTCTTTTCCTCTTGACCTCTGACCCTGACCTAAGAGCCATGGGGAACCTCACCTTTACCCACCAGGGGCCACCATAACACTGCCACAAAGGCAGAAACTCCTCATTTGCTGCCATCCAACACACCCAGGAAGAAGATGGTTCCTGCTCTGTTCTCAGCCCATGGCTTCCTCCAAAATGAGGATGGAACTTCCCTCTAAATGACGTGTGCTGTGATTTCTGCTTGTTCTTGTCTGCCACCTGCTTTCAGATGCCTATGCATGTTAGCAATACAGGGAAGGGGCTGTAATGCGAGTCACTATTGCCCGTGTTTGAACCTCTCTTCTGAGTCGTCTTTAACCAGGTTCACACCATCACTGAAGCAGCCTCTCCCAGTCTGTTTATGGGAAGTCAATGGAGAGAAGAATAACAAGGGATGCCCCAGAAGCCAGGAAGTCACAGAACAGTGTTGATTAACCTTTCCAGTTTTCTGAGTGCAAAAAATGGTCGGGTATTGGGAGCATTCAAAGTCCTTTTTTCTAGCTATTCTGAGATACACATATATTATTGTGAACTACAGTCACTCTGCTGTGCATGACAACACTAGAACCTATTCCTTCTGTCTCAAAGTGTTGTGTTCTTGATAACCAGCTTCTCTCTGTCCCCACCTCTCACCTCTCCTATATACTAATCAGTCTGATTTAATCATTGCACATTGTATACAAGTATAAAAGTATCATACCAGGAGCTGGCATTGTGGTGTAGCAGATAAAGCTGCCACCTTCCATGCTGGCATCCCACATGGGTGCCAGTTCGAGTACAGGCTGCTCCACTTAAGATCGCCCCCTGCTAATGGCCTGTGTAAAGCAACAGAGGATGGCCCAAGTGTTTGGACCCCTGTACCCACATAAGAGACCCAGGTGAAGCTCCTGGCTTTGGCCTGGCCTAGCCCTGGCTATTGCAGCCATCTTGGGAGTGAACCAGCAGGTGGAAAATCTCTCTCTCTCTCTCCCTATCCTTCCCCCTCTCTCTGTAACTCTGACTTTCAAAATAAATAAATAAGTCTTTAAAAACTATATATCACACTAGAGGCAGTGGAATAAGCCACCACTTGGGATGCCCACGTCCCATATTGGAGCACCTGTTCAAGTTCCAGCTACTTCATTCCCAATTCAGCTTTCTACCAGTGTACCTGGGAGACAGTAGATGGTGGCCCAAGTACCTGGTTTCCTCCCAGCCATGTGGGAGACCCCAGTGCAATTCTTGGCTCTTTTTTTCTGCCTGGCCCATCCCCAGCTGTTGTCAGCATTTAGGAAATAAACAAATATATGGAATTCTATCTCTCTCTCTCTCTCTCTCTCTCTCTCTCTCTCCCTCTCTCTCTTCCTCTCTCTCTCTCTCCCTACCTCTCTCTCTCTTTCTGTAAACCTTTTTTAAAAAAAAAATTTTAATTACTCTGTACTCCCTAAATATGTACAATTGTGTGTCAACTAAAATGTTTTTTGATAAAATTTAAATTTTAAGCAGAACCAAAAGTTGAAAGAAAAAAATGATCACATAGAACTGAGGTAAAGCAGACAGGAGAGGCTGGCACAGTGGTGTAGCGGGTTAAGCTGCCACCTGCAGTGCTGGCATCCCCTGTGGGCGCCAATTTGAGTCCTGGATGCTCCACTGCTGATCCAGCTCCCTGTTGATACACCTGGGAAAGCAGTGGAAGAAGGTCCAACGGCTTGGGCCCCTGCATCTATGTGGGAGATCAGGAGGAAACTCCTGGCTCCTGGCTCCTGGCTCCTGGCTCCTGGCTCCTGGCTCCTGGCCCAGCCCTGGCTGTTGAGACCATTTAGGGAGTGAAACAACAGAAGAAAGATATCTCCCTCCTTCTCTCCCTCCCTCTCTGTAACTCCACCTTTCAAATAAATAAATAAATAAATCTTAAAAAAAAGAAAAAAGAAAAACAGAAATGGGGTGAGTAGGGGCCTTATGAGCCTGGGAGTCTCCCGAGTGTCAGGTCAGCCTTTACTCTGCCTGGCATTATGAAAAGGCACACATCCGAGCCTCTCCGAGAGTCAGCAGTGCTTAGCACATGTGGATACTCTGTCTTAGTTCAACTGCACAGGTATCCTAGGAGAAGAACATCATTACCAGCTCCATTGTAAAGCTGGAAACCAAGGCTCAGAGAGGCTAATCACTTGTCAGTTGTCCTAGGCAGGATTTGAACACAAGTGTGATTCCAGACTCTCTCTGGCTTACCCACAACCCTGTCCTCCTCCCAAGCAGAGCTCTAACTGCTGTCTGCAGGTGGTGTCCGGGCCTGTCTCTGCAGGTCTGCAGATCTTTCACAGCATCAAGTGTCCAGCACCACACCTCTAAGGAGCTAAGGCAGCAGAGGTGGCAGGGGGAAGGCAGGGTACCCTCCTCATCAGCTGTGTCCTTACAGGAGTGCCGTGAGCTACAGTATGCCCCTGCCTGCCCCATTCATAGGCTGAAGCTTTTAACCTGGTACTTCAGATAAGTCCTTAGCGAAGTAATTAAGTTACAATGAGACCATTAGAGTGGGCTGTGATCCAGTCTGCCTGATGTCCTCATGAGAAGAGATTAGGACCCAGCCAGAGAGAGGGAAAACCGTGGGAGGACACAGAAGACGGCCACTTGCAAACCAAAGGTCCAGGCTAAGAAAGAAACAACCCCACTGACACCTCAGTCGGGACTTCCAGCCTCCAGGATTTTGGGAGAATAAGTTTCTGTCATTTAAGCCACTCCATCTATGATACCTTGTTATGATAACCCGAGCAGGCTGGCACAAGACTCCAAGGCTTCTGTTTCCCTCCCCGTTTGATAGAAGGAGCAGACCCAACGGCAATCCACATCAACTGGGATTCTCCATGGGGAAAGCAGAGATTTAACAAGATGTTAAAACAGACTGTTCAAAACGTCTCAGAACAATGACAACAAAATAGCTGGCAGTTTAAAATTGGGTCTTCAGATATTCATCATGGAGTAAATATGTACAAGCCAGATAGGGAGCTGAGTGTCTTTCCTGAGCTGCAGAGGGTTCCATGATAGATGGTAAAGCAGTCTACACCTCTAAGGTGACCTTCCAGAGCTGGGCCTTACATTCGGAAAGAGACGTCATCTGTTGTGGAAGCCAGTGCATCAGTCCTCGCCAGCTTGCGAGAAGACTGCTATGTGCTTTGTCTCCAGATTACAGTGCATTGTGGAGGCCCAACCAACCGCTCACTGATCTATTATGCATCACATCAAATTACTGTCAGAGCTCCAGCCCTGGCCGAGGAGCAAGGAGCTTGCCGTGGCAGCGAGATTCTGGCTCAGCTTAAGTTCTCTGGTTTTTTCCAAAGCATTTGTTTCCCCTGGTGCATCATGTAGAGTAGAATCCTGTCTCACAGCCCTGTGGCGTGAGCTGCCAGGTGGAACAAAGGGCCCTCCCAACACCTTTTGCCGTAGCTGCGCCCAGATGCACACAGTCCTGTTAGGCACTCTCTGCAATGGCCCTAAAGCCTTCAGCAGACGGCTTCTGCTGAGCTCAGTGTAGAGGAACACAAAAATGTTCATCAAACCCACCAGAGTGATACTCAGTCTCTATGGCAACCAGGACTGCCAGAGCCTCCCATGCCTAAAATGTGCATGAATGAGGCTCCAGACCCCTCCTGCCCCTTTAGCTCAGGATCCAGAGGGAAGTGAACCCTAAGCCTGGTGGGCTTCTCCCAGCCTGCCCTCGGCCTTGGTCTGACCTCAGAGGAGAGCTTTCTTACAGGCCAGAGCAGGCCTTTCTCTGCAGCCGGTCAGGGCTGCTTTCCCCAGATCCCAGCTGAACTCCCACATGGCCTTGCTGGGGAGGGCCCCTCCCACCCACATGGGAGATTCCGGAGTGCAGGGAGACATCTCTCTGGGCCAGCTGTGAAAGAATAGAGGGTAGCAATGCACTCCCAAAAGAAAACTGGTTCCACATGAGTGTGAACTGCTTCTGCCCAACTTGGCGAGCTTTCCAGGCCTCCCCACTAGAAGGCTTCGTGCCTTCTCTAAGGACTCCCACTTAGCCCTTGGCCCCACCCCTTCTCTGGGCCGGGCTTGGTGGGGGCGGCCCCCAGACACATGCCTTAAGTTAAAGCTTGGCCTCTGCAGTGTCTGTCCTCCTTCCAGCTGTGCTGTCACACTGCACAAATAAGAAGTTACAATGCTGAGCTTTGGGGATGGGGTACCAATGGTGACGGTGACATGTCCCCCCCTGGGAGTTCTGTACAGAGCGTCTGGAGCGTGAGATGGCTTCTTGAGGTTCACATCAACCCACAAGGGCTGTTCTTTCCTGAGAGAAAACAGAGAACAAAGCTTCTGCCACTCATAAACAGCCTTGAATGTCAGTCTTTTGGCACTCAGGTGATATTGGGCCATGTGATGGATAAAAACACCCCACTCTGTCTCCAGTTAGGTATAGTGAGGGAGAGCATTTCATCATCCCACCCAGGGCCCTCACACACACCTGAGAGACGACG